TGTGTGTGTGTGAAAGCTGAACGCCTGTGAACAGGTTTGAACAGAGGAGTGCTGGTCGTCGTGCACCGGTGACCGAAATTCCAGTTTCATAACGACGACGATGACTACGGCGGCAGCGGCACCTGCTCCGACATTGGCAGCGGCACCGGCACCCGCCTCATTGCCATTGGTTCCTTTGGCCACCGTTGCCGCAGCCGCAGCCGCCGCCGAATTGTTTCGCGGTTGTCACTTTGGCCCAGCTGGGAGACCAGCGAACCAGCCAATAAGGTGATCATCTGTCGATGCCGGTCTGACAGGCGGTTGAATCGGTAGGTCGTAGAAGGCAAGGCCATTGCACGTGCCTATTCGGCATAGAAAATGTGTCGATCACCGTGGCCGGATACTAATTCGAACCATCTTCCGTCAGTGCCTGAAAATCGTGATCATTTCGCGTCACATCATTTCAGCATGGCGCGCATCAGCCACCTCTGCCGCGATGCGAGGCGAACGGCGACAAATGCAAAAGCGCATTTTGTAAGGGAATACTTCGCGATGGGCAGTGAAAAAATTCGGAGTATCTGCTCCACCTTAACGCAGGATTAGTCAGCCACCTGTGGCCAAATTCGTCCATTGGACGGATGCTGGTGGCGAATGCCGAATCTGATTCGCTGATCTCTCACGCTTCAGCCACTTGAGGTGGTTTAGAAGCCAAAACTGAAAAACGGGATCGACTACGTCTGGCAAACTTGCGGCTGGAGAAACCCATACGCTCAATCGTCAGCTATTCATGTGCGCTACCATGGTAGACTGTTTCTTAGGCAAAAAGTACCCAATGATGATGAGTGCAACATGGTTTCCAAAGCTCATTTCGATTTTGTGTCTGCTTCTTTCATAAACATGATGTCGATTTTACGGTTTTAAGCACTAATAGTAAACTGATGGTGAAGCTTTTAAAAAATTTCCAACGTTTGAGTCAAAAATGGCCATTACCCTCCAGGCAAATCAAACACTACTGACTGTTCAACATTGATTTTCAGTGTTTGCTACCATGATGGCAAATGCTGTTTTGCTGAAACGTGGGCGGCTATGATTCGAAAAGACAATAAAATTAGTTTACCATTTTTGTATATTACGGCATAATCAACATCGCCTTTATTCGAAGATATGGCAGCCATTGTCATTTTCACAAAATGCGCTGCATGCAAATTTATCAACCTCATTACTCATATTTCAACTATTCTTGACTGCATTAATAAGTGAAGGAAGGGTATACGTTTAAGCGAAGGTTAATCCTTCTATTAGAGGTTTACTTCAAAGCAGGAAATATGTCTTGGGCACTTGCCCTTGGTGTCAAGGGGAAATTCACTCTGTTGCAATTCATTGCTGCATTGCACCTCTCACCTTTGACGTTGTTCTATGTCCATGAGTTCAGTGTACATATTGACTCTCTAGAGAATATGAATATGGCCTCCGCTTACGTAATTCATAATTCTAGGATAACAAGTCAATCCAGGAATTATCTGTTTAGCAGAAAATGAAAGGAATGAATCATGGTACCTCGGTTCATTTATCCAAGTTTTAAATCTCAGTATTTTGGTCCTTGATAGACTTGCATTGTCATATTTTTCTGGGTTAGGTGTCATTGACTCCCTAGCCAGCCATCATCCATGCTGATAAGGGCCATGACGGCTAGAGGGAGCAACGTAGCAATCTTTAGAATTGGT